CGTGCGGGGACCTCCCGTCTAATCGACTCTCGCGATGGCAGCTCCTCCGACAGATACTCGAGAGACTCTGGCGCCGGTGGTCAAGTGAATACCTCCACCGACTCCAAAGCCTGTCAAAATGGCAGCATCATTCACACCAGATCGACGTGGGAACCCTCGCCCTCCTCTCGGACGAGCGCTTCCCTCCATCCAAATGGCCACTCGCTCGGGTCACTGCATTCCGGCTCCGACGGCCTGGTTCGCGTCGTTACTGTTCGCACCGCAATATCTGAATTTAAGCGGCCCATCACCAAGTTGTGCCCGCTTCCCACATCCGCCTGACACCTCCTGAGCGCAGGAATGCCCGTCTGGTCAGATGCACCGAGGAAATTCGGCACCGAGGCGGCGGTGCCGAGGCGGGCGGAATGTCGGAGCGGGTCCGTGACTCAGCTTATTCGCATACGCAAACCTTCCCCCAATGCGGCGAGCACGGTTCACGCATCCGGCCCGTGCGAATGCCACGCAGCGACCAGCTGATCAGCCGTGCCCGCTCTACCGCTTCTGCTGTTTTTTATTTTTCTCTCCACACAACCGATCAAAGAGTCGAACGCGAAGCACTTTGTACCTTACGTTAAGCAATAAATCATTGTTTTTTTGTTCGAGAAAGAACCATACGCGAGTGATTGCTCCTCTGACTTCCTATCCTCAACACGAATTGATCAATAATTTTTGTTCTGCACAGGATGTTTAGGTGTATTTGGCAATTTCTTTTTATCCCACAGTCGTGATAAATTTAAGAACATAATGTCAAATTATATGGTTTGAAATGAAATGTCGATAATTATTTGCATTAACGGACATTTCCACATCAAGTGATATTCCAATCTAAACCTATTTGTTCATTTTTTTGGCCTCCCGTAAAGGGAGGGCGATGGAATTCATTGCGTTCAAGCATACTGTAGGAGATGGAATGTCCTTGGGAGATAATATATTGATCGTCTATCCGGGTAATTAATATTGAGTTTATTTTATAATAAATACATGCTTTTCGAAGGAAAAGACGGGAATGACTAAAGAAAAATGTAACCTCGCCACCGGTCTAACGCGCCGACCTTTGCCGGGTCAAAAACAAAACATTATGTAACACTCCTCCGATCGGTTTGTCTAACGAAACAACTTATACGTTACCTACACATACACTTTACAATGCTTTATAACATTTATAAAATAATAAACCTATATGGAATTTTGCTTTGCGTAAAGTCCCGTCGTTTTATCCCGTAAGCAGAGGTGGGTGTGAGGTGAATTTTGCTTCGCATGAAAAGTATAATTATAATGTTTCACATGAGTTTTTGATTTAATACGCAAAGCAAGATTCATCCCGCATCCACAACTACTTACGGAATAAAATAAGTTATATAATTGTACTCTGCCACATGAGTTTCCGACTTTCTACGCAAAGCGAGGGCCACCTCACACCCACCTCTACTTATGGGATAAAACGAGATCTATGATTATATGGTTCCATATTATTGAAGCATTTTTTTTAAATAATGAGAGTCATATATCATGTTAATATTAAATAAAATGTAGTTAGTCTTTTTTGTTAATAACATTTTAACAAACCATGAGAACAGCTAAAACCTTTTAAAGATCACTCAGGATCACGACAATATATATCAAGGTCATGGTTATCGAAATCACCTATTTGGTATAATATTTGCCATAAAAGAAGAGGTCACTTATATCGGGACATCATTTTTATATAAATTTTAACACAAAATGTCAACTTCTTGTTTTGTTTTATAATCTTATATTTTAAGCATTTCTTATTGTGAAGTAAAACTTATGCATAAAAATAGAACATAATTTGGTATAGATATATTCTAATGGACCTAAAGGAATGCAATACCTGGGAAGAGAGATCCAATACTTTTGCCAATCAGTTTTTGACCATAAACACGTTAGTTTAACCCGCAAATTTAATGCAATAAAGACGCTGTGTACAACTGTTTATAAACACTTATCCGCTATTCATCAATATAATTCTTTTACACTGCCTATTAAATCTTCTATAATATTACTTAAACCTACAAACCTACGCCTTGCATATATCGATCCGTAATTGAGGAGA